AGCAGTTTTCCAATGAGCCCTGCTATTATATATAACATCTTTTTAGTTTGTTAAATTTATCTATCAGGGATATCGAGAATGTGGTATCTTTTCAGTCTTCTTACTGTTAGGCTATTGTCTAATAGACTTAAGGCTAAATTATTTTCGTGGTTGTGGAGTCTGTCGATGTATTTCTTACTAGTTTTCTTTATTTCTTCTTTAATGGTTGGAATATTCAGATCTTTGTGGATGTTTGCATTAGATACGTAAAACGGAGCATTGACAATTTGTCGCAAAGTTTTTGATTGGTAAACATATTATTTGACTAGTAAAATACTAATAATTTGACTCTCAGTTTTCATTCACGAACGTCCCTTGATTAGATCCGAGCATATATTATTTATGAATAATTCCCAGGAATTCGCTATTAAACTACCGAACATTAACCTATGTTCAAGCTCATCGCCAGATCAAGCCTTGAAGGGGTCTGGTATGTTGATTTCATGAAGTACTTATAAAGAGTATCCACACTTCGTTTGTTAGGCTTTACACATTTTGTTTGTTGTGGTTATCATTTGAGGTTTGCTTGGGGTGGTGCTTGTTGTGGTGAAGAAAATTCACCCTGCGCCTCTAATGAACTCATCCGGCTGCCATGTTTTCGTGTCCTTCCATTCCATCCCATCCAATCCCAACCACTCCAATCCAGCCCATGTCAATGGGAAAACAAGTTGAGCCTGATATATTTTGATGTGTGTATGTTTTGATTGACTCGTAAATTTGTTTTCACAACAGTTGCAATCGCGAAACGAGTTTTTGCGGCTCCGAGAGGGTTCCGAAAGTATCAATTACAATATTAATTTCATATTACCATTGGATAGTTAGCATATGGTTAGCTAAGCGAGGAAGATGTGCACTTCTATCTATATCTGTTTGCCTTAATGCTCAAATGTGCCTAATAAACACTGGATGGGTTTGCTCTTTACTTTTTTTATTGCATGCTTAAACTCAAGCTACTATGAATTCACTTTTCAGATAAGCTTTATAGCATCCACACGCCCGTGAAAAGTTATGATTTCGTTTATAACATTGTCATTTCTTTATCCTAGATAACAAATACTTATTTAACTTTTATCAGAACATCTGAATTGTTGTGCTTTTGCCTAGGAATGATAAGATCTAAAACATGTATTTTGAGTTGTATTTTTGGCAATAGTAAAGATCGAATAGATTTATAATGCGAATTGATATGTCCAAAATAATGAGTACTTTCATCAATATAAGTTTGAGTTTTACCACCCAAGTGCTCACGATTCAAGTGCCATCGAGATAGTAGAAAGTGAAACATTGTACTGATAGTGAAGTAAAAAAAATGGATTTTGTGGCTTCTGTGGCTAGTTAACACTAGTTAACATGGGTAAAACAATTTAAATATACATATATGTACATAGATATACAATTAAAATTAATTACTTTGCGCTTTCTTTGAACAATCTGATCATGGCAATTATGCGAGAGTATCCCAAGCCAATTGTCATGTAATTGTCAACTAATTTGCTCTTTGCACAATCACGATACCGAAATTAGTTGCGGAAACAGTTGGCAGATACCAAAACCATTCACCACGAGATCGTCCCTAGAGATAGAGTCCAACGAGTCCGGAACAATGGTCACGAGATGCCGAACAGATACAGAGCTGTGGTTCCTTTTGTGCTGTGGTCCTGCGGTTGCCCGGTGCTGATCGAACCCGATTATTTTTTGCACACACAAAACTTCTTTGCTGCCTTCACCAGAACGCACTTCGACTGTGTCGCATACGAGTCCAGTCGACTGATGCTGGTCACCGTAGTGGAGATTCTTTGGGTCTTGGGGTTCCACTCGGCGGAGGCCTCGAGGGAACCTCCACCGGGGGAAATGTTTAGCCGTACCAGATAGGCATTGGAATTACCATTACCATTCCTGTGAACGGACAATATTTTGGCAAGCTTCAGAGTTTGACACTTTTGCGTGAGGTTCAGGCCTGTCAGGAACTTGTTAATGGCCTCCACGAGCTGCTCTGCCATCGCCCTGGCCATTGGATCTGTGGAGGAAACCTCCGTGAAGCCAACACATCCGCACCAATGGTGATCGATGCCGGCTAGGGAACAGTTCCTGGACAGGGACACCGCCTGGAAGACGCTGTGACACGTGGGACAGCCCTCGGGTCGTGGCAACTGATCGGCGGGTGTGTCCAGCTCCAAGATGTGTTTGAGTGTGGCATGGATGTCGTAGGGCGAAGTCAGCCGGTTCTTGTTTGCCTTCAAGCTGTGCACGAACTCTGGGTACTTGTCTCGCATCCATTTGGGGATACGCATGTAAATAACCGGCAGCCGCTCCTCTAGGAAACCACTGTCTAAGCTGCGCAGCACCCCAAATCGACTTCCATGATCGCTGAAAAAGATCACAATGGTGTTGTTCATGATCCCATTGTGATCGAGGGATCGCATGTACTTGACCATTCTGGTATCCATGGCCGAGGGCATGGAAAAGTCGTTGTGGCTGAAGGAGTTCGTCCAGAACATGCCAAAGAAGTTACGATCCTTGTGAACCTCTGTAAACTGCTCGGCCATGTCGTAGATGTACTCAGCGGCAGACTTTCGTCCCAAGCAATATGGTATGCCCTTTATGTACGTTTTCTTCAGTTCCTTCTCGAGGCCCAGGATCAGCGGACGTCCATATACATCCGTGGGAGGCGTGCGAAAGCCCATCTTCAGATAATCGAATGTCGATGTACTGCTCCAGTCCTCTGCATAGGCGGTTGCGTAGCCTTTCGCCTTGAAGTTCTTCCAGATCATGGGGCAGGCATCCAGGCCACCCACAGCAGTTGGTCGGCACTTCGAGTATGATCGGGTTTGGTTGAAGCCCGTGAGTATGGCCATCAGATTGGGAAACGTATTGTCGCCCATCTACAGAAACAGAAATCTCAAATTAATCAATGAATCAAAGAGTAGGATGTGCTGCGCAACCTTATTATATCCCTGCAGCTCGTACCAGGGCTGTTCCCGGAAATACTTGTACGTCTGTGGCATGGTTAGCTCAAAGTTCATGCGTGAAAGCGAATCGATGCCCCAGAGCAGAACACTTGGTCTTCTCTTCGTACCCACAGCAGCAGAGGATGGAGGCGTGGGGTCTGACTTTCGTGGATGCACAAAGCTAAAGCCATCCTCTTGCAAAACTTTCGATCTGTTAGACAGACGGCATTGAGTGATCACAGCCTCCACGTGGTTGGGTACCACATAATCCTGGGAGAACGTAACGCATGGAAGCAACCTGCGCAAGTAATAATCAATAATGCATATTTCTCCGTATTTGTTCGGCACTTACTTGTACTGATAGTCAGCTTTTGTCCGAACTCCTGCTCTCAAGATCTGCTTGTAGCAACATGTCGAATTGGCAGAGTTCATGTGCAGTTTGTAGGTCTGATCTTGTTCATTGTAGCTGACTTTCAGCATGTCCGGTCTCTTATCACACACTACATAGTGTTTCCTGTGGTATATTTTCAAGATATTTTTGGAGAAGGGGTTAAGATAGGGCATTTGACACTGAGGCGTATTCACAAAGAACTTTTCCTTCCCAGCGGACTCTGATGCTTTGGTGGTCCTGGCTGTCGATTGCTGATAGACTAAGTTTGTGGTCGACTTCTCGTTTTCCGCGGATGAGTGTTCATTGTCCGTGGGTGGGTTTGGATTGTGAGTAGTTGAAGGTTTTTTGTCCGTTGTTGAGTGTTCATTGCCCGTTGAAGGATGTTCAGTATGCGTAGTTGGTGGTTCTTTGTCCGTTGTTGGATGCTCATTGTCTGTAGTTGACTGATCGTTGTCGGTTGTTGGATGTTCATTTTTCGTTGATGAATGTTCATTGTCCGTGATATCCTCTTTAAAGTTAGAGGTTACTTGAATCGCTTCCCACTTTGTCAACGCCTCATTCGCACTCGGAGTAGCCAGGGTGCTGGTCTCTGGTAAGTCTACCACGGGACTCCAAGTGTAAAAAGCAAGAGTAGAGAGTCCCACAAAAATAACTAAGAACTTCACTATCCATGGTGAAGAGCTTGTCTCCTTGGGCGAATGCTCGTCAGTCGGAATTAGCTGGTATTTAGTGCTTAGCATGCCCTCGACTCGCCCTTATCAACAGCATTTCCGTGGAAAAATCTATTATTTTATTATTTATATTCGGAGCGATGTGTCCGAACTGTTCGCGCTTCTTGCTACAACTGCTAGAATATTTATCTACCAGTGAGGCATTAGCTCACTATCGCTTCGACAGCTTCAAGGCAACAACATTGCTGCCATGCATTACCCCTTCTGTAAATAGTGTATAAAAAATCACACTCCCGAACATTAAGGATCGTGACCATTAACAATTTAATCGCACGTTTCATATTCAAAGCTCAAAATTATACTTACATAGATGCAATTTCAAGCCAAGCGGAACTGTCTAAGCGAACTATAAAGTCTGAGTCAAGCTCAATGGAATTTGTTTCGAAATATGCTAATTATTACAGCAGGTCTTAATTTAGACAATAAGCAAAAATATATACATAGGTACAGGTACCTACAGCTGCGCAAATGTGCAAGTCAGTGTATTCTTGAGATCGGTGTTTTATGCTGTCCGTAATTTGTTGATGTCACTATGGCATTAATCATATTTTGTTTACTTCATTTAACATACCTAATATTAAGTAACAGCGTTTGCTATCATTGTTTGTAGGAGGGTGTATACAGTCGTATCGATATATTCCCAAGAATAGTGGAATAGTTTCGAAGAAACCAAACAATGAACGGGGTGAACTGTGGTGTATGTGAAATGTATTTAAAATGTACGAATTATTACTATTTCTATAATAATAATAGCCCAATATATACCTACAATGCAACACTGTGAACTTGTACACAAAATAATTCAAACCTTTATTCATAAAATTCTTAAGAAACGGAAGAATAAATAATACGAGTAACAATTGTAAGGTCAGTGTAAAAGGCTGTTCACACTTTTGTTGAGCTTTTTTTCCGTAGGGGCTGATGCTATGATTGAAATGTGTAGATTGATATACAAGAGGGATCTGCACGGCCCTGTTTACGGCTAGTCCACATCGGCTAGGCCATGGGCTGGTCCATCCTGTACTGGCTGGGCTAGTCAGATAGCTAGGCAAGGGCTAGTCCGCAGAACTGCAAGGTCCGTTTTTAATGCCTCTTTCCACTGATAACCTGTGAATGTGTGCGCGCTGTCCACAGATACATATAAACGTACTTTGCATTTTTTTATGACAGTGTATAATACTTAAGAGAGCGGGAAGAATACACATAAATAGTTCACACTTTTCGCTAACGAGTTAGAACCATTGCAAATCTTGTATTTTTTATGTTTTATTTCAATAATTTAAGTCATTTAAAAATGTACATGTACAATAATATACGTATACATAATCCATTATACACAAAACTTCATAAATAATAAAATGTTCAAGAAAACGCATTACAAATGCTATGCATGTACAATATCGAAATCTGGCAGGGCAGTCGCTCCGCTCGCTCCGGCCGGCCGGCCGATCACTAAAAGGTAACGAACGGCCCAACAAGTGGATAAAAGTGCGACCACAGCCTGACAAAAAATATACAATGCAATACAATACATAATTTCAGTTTCAGTTTGTTATACATAGCATAAACTACATAATACATTTAGTTCGTAATGTCATTTCATATGGTTGACGCTTACACTTATTGTTGTTCCTTCATATGACGACGTTTTTAGCTAAGTTATTCTGCTCGAAGTTGCATCGGGCTGCTGTCTGTCGCATTGCTACAGTTGGTGAGTTATTTAATTGGTAGGTTGGTTGGTTTCTTGATTGGTAGATTAGGATAGCCATTGCTTGTAAGAAGATTCAATGCCTAATGCCGTCGTACCTTAAATGCCCCACACTATACGAGTAAGTGTGGGCCGATTGCTCATAACAAAGTCTAATACATATGTATGGTAATATTTTCATCAACGACTGTTTTACTGTATTCGCATTAATCCGCAAATGCGTCTCCAACCTCAGTTTATTTCTATGTTTATATACGTAAGTATATGCATTCATATATCTGTTTAACGACTTCGAAGCCAGAGTTCTCCGCTTACGCGGCACAAAGTTCCACATAGTTGGCCGGATATAAGCCAACGCGCCCATTCATGCGTCCCTTGCACCAGCCCTGCTCGTCCTCATCTTCGAGCTTTTCAAAAACATCACCTGCCATGTGCAAAGATAGAAAGATGGAGATGGGGAACCAGATTAGAAACGAACCAGATCTGGTCAGATGGATGGCTTCACGCACCTTGTTTGAATGTGAGCTCATCACTTTCAGCGCCCTCGTAATCGTACAGCGCTTTGACTGGCACGCCCGGCTCACCGTTGTCGACCAGCACGTTGTCGGCCTCATCCCACTCCTCCTCCTCGTCGAATGGGTTGGAGTCGACTTTGCCGTTGCCATTGCTGCACGGGTTTGTATGTTTTGTACGAGAGAGTACACGAATTGAAATCAATTAGTTCAATGAAAATGAGCGCTTCAACGCGAAACGTGTCTGTGGGACCGGGCGGGTGTATCGTAATTCAAAACAATACAAAATGTTTCAACTTACGTTACGCTCGGATTGCGATTCGGTGCTACCGCTGCCGCTGCCGCTCCCGTTGACGCCGCTGCTGTTACCGTGGCTGCTGCTGCCGCTGTCGTCGAGCCAGCGGCTGCTGGCGCTGCTGACGTTCTGGCTTCAGTTGTTGTGGCAGATGATGGCGTTGCCGCTTGTTCGCTCTTGCCGCTCGCTCTGCTGCTGGCGCTTCCTCCGGCGCTGTTGCTCTTCTTGAGACTGTTTGTGGAGTGGTATTCCTGTGATGTTAGGGAAGGAGAACATAACCACGATTAGCATTCATGAAAATATACAACGCAACAAACAAAGGCTTACGTGGATGCCCTCTTCGGCAACAGGTCGCTGATTAATGAGCGTTATGGGTGCCGCCGGGAGTGCCTCTTTTGATTTGTTGCCCTTGGCAATGTCGCGGAATTCCTCCGTGTATTCCTAAACATGCAGAGAGTAATCCAATTAAATAGAGCCAACAGAGACTATAGACAGGGTAGACAACGTACCACAAATATTGGCCAATTCATGGCCATGTTAATACCATGATTGTTGGACCACCACTTCAGATCCTTCTGCTGGTCCGCATTGTTGATCGTATGATAGAATTCGTCATAGATTTGGGGCAGGCTGCAAGCAAGCAAGCAAAGCAAACAAAGTTCAGTAAAATTAAGGAACACACAAGGGAGCTACGACCGAACCTTTGCACTTTGGTGAGATCCAGACTCGAGTGCACATTGAACAAAATGTCTTTGAAGAACTGCAGCCGCGTCTTCTCCATGGTTTGGCACTTTTCATACACAGATGTCATGTCCTCAATGTAAACCGAATTGTATTTGGTGATTTCGGAAATGGCTTGCTCGTACTTTTCGCGGCACTTTTGCACTTGATCTTTGGTCTTTTGCACGCGATCGTGCATTTTCTTCACCTGCAACAAAACACAAACAATTAGCAAGGATTATCTATGATAATGTAATATTTACCTGATCGGGGGACAGTGAACTGTCAGCATTGGCATTGCGCTCTTGATTGGTTGCACTGCGTTCTGTCTTGCAGGCCGAGTGATAGTCGGCCTTGGCCTTCTCGACCTTGGCCAGCAGCTTGGCCCACGGCTTTTGGGCCTTCTTGAACATATCGTCCATATCCTTGCGCTCCTTGATCTGCATGAGCGTGTGATGGTAGTTCTCCTTCTGCCACGTCTTGATCTGGCTGTTGACATCGTTGCACAGGCTGTCCTTGATCTTCATGTGCACATCGCAGACGCGCTCCGACTCCGTCAGCACACCCTTCCAGGCCGCCTCGGTGGTGCCGTATTCCGGCCCTGGAACCAATCAAGCAAATCTCTTACACAAACTGATCCCCAATTATTTATAGATTATACAGTTGTCGCCTCCGGTTGACGTCATCTTGCGCCCCGGCTCGACTCGGCCCGGCCCTACAGCGACGTAAACACGAACCATTACGATGCGGAGCACTTCTACGTTTTATCTAATCACCTGAAAACACCCAAGCCAGTCGCGAGTCGAGGAGGAGCGTGCTCGAGAATATCGGTTTGTATGGTTATGGTTCGTGCGATCGTACATATGTACATACATACATAAATAGTTTATATGTGTTTGTGGGTCCGAGTGGGTCGAATAAATACCTCACATTTTTGGCATTTTTTATTAGTCGCTAACAAAGAGCGCAAACTGTAATCAAAATTTATATGATGCTCGTCTTATAATTGGAAATGCACGAAACTCGTTTGACTAACGACAGACTATTCTCAATCGGATGCCCACTGCCCCCCTGCCCCTCTCCCTACCACTACACACACAGACTCGTTCACTCAGAGATATATAGAAATTGAGACGCTTAGCACAGAAATAACTCGTTCTATTTTCCCCGTCGCATTGATTTTTGAAACCATTTCAAGCGACGCTTTGGTGCCGGTTTGGTCTAGTCTGGATGGGCACTAGCTGGAGCTTCTGCTTCTGCTGCGGCCTCTGCCGCTGCCACTGCCTCTCTGCATCCGTTGCCTCTGACTCTAGCTAGACGCAAAACTAGGCAAATTCCGCTCGTATTTGTATATGTATACGTGGGGACAGCAGAAGAGTAGGCAGTGGTAGTGGCCGGGAGTAGGCGGCGGTGGAAGAAGTAGCCGCTTTTGCAATTGGCTTTGGCTTTGGCTTGGTTACTGTGAAAGTGGACAGCACAGCAACAACAGCCGCCAGCAATGAGGCAAAGCGGTTACCAACTTTGCGAACGCTGTGTACTCGATTTCATTTCGCGAAGAAGCGCACTGCGCACATTGTGCCGGATATCCATATTAATATGTACCCCAATATATGTGTATACATAGGAATTTTTTGGGAATAGCAAATGAACTTGGAAACTACATAAACATATGATAAAAATATGTGGAATAGCAAGAGCTCAGAATTCCTTAAGAATTTAATTGATCAGCGGAGGGTGAAGTCCAACCAAACACACAAAAATCCTAATCAGCAAAATTCGAGCCGGCAATCACTGCACACTCAATGAATGGTGTCTTTGTTTATTTATATCTTCAAGAATCCCCTCAACCAGCTCATCTTTAACATGAT